GACTCAATCAATAGGACATCTTGTAGATCTTGTGAAGTTTATTCCATAAACTGAGAGAATCTTACAACAATGAACATTCGATAGGTCAAAAGAACTGCAGTGCATCTCTGAGAAAGGGGGAGGGCTATCTATACAGCATTAACTAAACCAAAGGAAAGGGAGGAGCAGAAACAATATATAGAAACACTTAAAGGCATATAACAGTCAATATGACAGTCATGTGAAACATGACAGGGACTGTTAGTAAACAAAGCAACCCTCCTCCCTCGGTAATCACCGGGCACCAGCAGGTAATCACAAGCCGGCTGTTATAGGGCGGTGGGGATGTGGTTAAATAGAATGTTTGGTTTGGGGCTCCCAGATGCAGTGCAGTTCCACTTTAATGCATTCTCTGCATTAAGGTAAAAAATGTCCCAGTAGCAGAATTGCGCCCCCCCCCACACACACACACACACTCCTTAACACCTTACTCAATCCAACTCTGTGCCCATCTGTAGTGGCTGTCCTCTCTCTCTCTCTGCATTCACAGGACAGAGAAGCAACAGCGGGAGCCATTGGCTTCTGCTGCGGTCATTGAAATCCTGTAAGCAGAGAGTGAGGGGGCAGGGCCAAGCTACACTGTGTGTGTCCATGGACACATCTTCCCCTAAGCCATTTGCTATGGGGGCAGCCACTGAAGAGGAGCCATGATCAATGGTGGGGGGACCCCAGAAGAAGAGATTTGGAGCCGCTCTGTTCCATTGAACAGAGCAGGTAAGTATACCATGTTTAATATTTTAGAAAAAAATGTAACCATTACAACCACTTTAAATCTGATTAGATAAACCTCAACACCAGTTTTTATGAATATTGGCACTGTCGAAATTTGAGCCACAGAAGTATGTGTCCTGAAGACCTTCTTTTAGGCCCTCTTCTCTAAAGCCCAAGAGACAATCAGACAACTTGTGACAGGAAATGGACAATAAAGCCAACACTTTAATAGGTTTGCATCCAGCAGGGAATGGTTAAACCTCTGTCAGTTATTCTTTCTTACTTCACAGGAAGTGAAAGGAAATCTCTCCTTCCAAGATATGTGTCATTGAAACAAATCTTCATTGGTAGATTGTGCCTCACCTACTCTTTCAGTGGCAATCAAAATAGTTTGGATTGCCCATCACTTTATGCCCTCATGACAATGGTCACCAATCATAGGTCAATTTGCCAAGTGGGGACCCAGACAGCAGTATAGTTAGACCCTTCATTGGATCATCCGTAATTGATATACAGATTTAGTGTCTCCAATAAGAGAAACCAACTCCTCCTTAACATGTTGCACCACAATGTGATTTGATCACTAGGATCCTTATGATCAAGCCACACTGTGGTGAAACACATGAAGGAGGAGTTGGTTTCTCTGAGTAAAGACACTATGACCAGGGCTTTTTTTCAGCTGGAACTTGGTGGAACTCAGTTCCACCACCTCTGGCTCAGGCCCTCTGCTCCCTGTTTACCATTGTCACTTCTAAACACAGAGTCCAGCTTCTGTATTCACAAGTGACAGCTTGACTCCCAACGGTAAGGTACTAGAGTTGACTGAGTGCTTCAGCATATGGCATATGGAAGATGGTGGAGCTTTACGGGGTTACGGGGGGGGGGGGGGAGATGGGGGCGGTGGAGGGGGGGTTCGCCTGCAGGGATCAGAGCTGAAGAGGGGTAAATGAGATGTGAATTGGAGATGCAGAGATAAGCAGCTGTGGAAGAAGGCTGCACTTTGTATGCAGAGCACCCCTGAACTCTGCACTATGTACTAAGCACACCTTCTGAACTCTGCACTCGACCTGTAATTCACTTCACTGATTTAACACCCCTGTTAGACCCTCCCTCTGTTAGAGAAATTTGACTACACTACCATGTGATGCAGTTTGGAGGTGTGTGTGTGGGGGAGGGAGGTTTTAAGGGGTTGTGGTTGAGTTTCTGCACTTATTTTCTGAGATAATATGTCTATTATGGACAATCTGAGAAAGTAACTCAGAAGAGCACGGTTTGGAGTGTTTACTTTCATCTGATCATAAGCCAGGACGGGCTTCTTGAACCTGCACCCAGGGTCCATAGATCAAATGGAAGAGCTAGTTTAGAGCGGTGTGTCAGGATAGGATGTCACTAAAGACCCATTATTACCTTACCAAAAACTAAAACTAAGTTTGGCTGTAGGTGTACTTTAAAAGAGGGCTTGACAGATCCCAGGCACCAGGTCCCCATGGGGACTAGAAATTGCTTCCTAGCACCTGGGTTCACACACTGCCTTCCATTATCTTCAATGGGAAAATGAGCTTCATAGACTTCAATGGGAAATCGCACCCCATAGACTTCAATGAGAAAATGCCTCCCATAGGCTTCAATGGACAAATGCTTCCCATAGACTTAAACAGGAAAAACGCCTCCCATAGACTTCAATGCAAAAACTCCTGTCAATGGCAATCCTATGTGAACACTTATCTGCATATTCCACTCTACTCTTTCACTTTCAAGTCTGGAATGCAGCACTACAAACTAGCACAGAACCCTTTTCATAATGGCACTCAAAGTAGAATGTGTTTGAATTGTACCTGTGTGAACCACCTCAACAGGAACACAAAATATCTAGCTTGTCAAGCGAATCTGTGAGTTTCAAAACAAATCCAGAATAGTATATGTGTGAATCAGGGAGGCTCCATTCACACCTGGGCATTTGGGGATCCCAGCAGAATCGCTGTGATCGCAAAACGCATGCTCAGGTGCCATTATTTTCAATGATGCCTACAGTGTGGTGCAGTTTTGACGTGATTGCAAATCCCATCATGTGATGTCCTGGGTGCTAACAACCCATGCTGCACTAAAAAAAAAAAATCCTGCCTCCTAACTGTAGCTGGCTCCTAGATTCAAAGGAAAAGAAGATATCCAGGAATGTCATTATTTTTTACATAGTTACATTGGTCCAGCTTGGAGCAATGTAACTGTATATACATTTACTATACCTGACTGATGCCCCTGGAAGCTTGAAGTCACTGAAGTAGACACTGATACTCCCAAGATCCCCTATTGCTTCTGGGACCCATTGGATAGAGAGAAAACAGGTGGCGCACACACCTAGTGCATTATCCAAGGTTTATTGTAGGAATGAAATAATAAAAACATACTCACAGACGAAGCATGTATCTAAAAAGCATAGAAAAAGGACAATGGCCACAATGGCGGGCAAGGTGTTCTCACTGTCAGTGCGGTCAACTGGCTGACGTGTTTCGGGGACAAATCCCTTTCCTCAGAGCTGATGACCAACCTCTGATGCTGATGTATGGTGTATGGACAGAAAGAGGCTCTTTCTGTCCATACACCATACATCAGCATCAGAGGTTGGTCATCAGCTCTGAGGAAAGGGATTCATCCCTGAAACGCGTCAGCCATTTGACCGCACTGACAGTGAGAACACCTTGCCCGCCGTTGTGGCCATTGTCATTTTTCTATGCTTTTTAGATACATGCTTCGTCTGTGAGTATGTTTTTATTATTTCATTCCTACAATAAACCTTGGATAATGCACTAGGTGTGTGCGCCACCTGTTTTCTCTCTCTATCCAGTGGCTGATTTCCCCGTCTGAGGAGGGCTGCACCCCTGGAACATTTTCTTTGGTTGTCGCTGTCCTGGTACCCTTGGCTTCCCTTTTGGCTGTGCATATCCTGAGGCGCTGGAGAGTATATACGACTTCTGGGACCCATGCTAAATGGTCAGCCTTATGCATTGTGAACACAGAAGGTTTGGTTGCTCACAAAGCAATGAGGTGGAGAAGTGGGGTGGCAACTCTACACCTCATCCAATCAGAGAACACTTTGCATGGAATCAGAGAATGGCTCCTGTGTGAGCGCCCAACCTTCTGTTCATATTTACAAGTGCCCAACCTCCTCCTATTTACAATGCATCAGGCCACCCACTCACCACAAGACCCAGATCACTGGAGTAGTGATGTCTACTTCAATAATTTCTAGCTTCCAGGGGCATCAAGCAGGTATGGTATACAGTATACTGTACACAGTTACAGTGGTCCAAGCTGGACCAATGTAACTATGTAAAACTATACCATGTCTGGAATTCATCTTTAACTGCCTCCTGCCCACCATATAAGGAAATGATGGGTGGGCGGTGACTCTTTCGTTCTGGGAGGACGTCATATGACATGTGCACCCCCCTGGCACAGCGATTGGTGGTGCGCTGTTTCCCTGGGACACAGTGGATCACCAATCACAGTAAAGAGCTGATGACACAGGCTTTGTCATGTGATCAGCTGTGTCCAATCACAGCTGATCGTATGCAAACAGGAAATGCCGGTTATCGTCAGTCCTCTCTTCACGCTGACAGCACGTGAGCAGAGGAGAGACGGTAAGCGACATACCTCAGAGCGGATATCTACACTGATTATCAGGGAACTGATAATCAGTGCCCTGATGATCAGTGTAGCCCCATCAGTGCCACCTGTCAGTGCCCATCAATGCCACATACCAGTGCCCATCAGGGCACATGAAAAAGCCACATATCAGTGCACATCAATGCACCTATCAGTGCCATATATGAGTTCTGCCTGTCAATGCCCACCAGTGATGCCTGTCAATACTCATAAGTGCCACCTACCAGTGTCTCCTCATCTGTACTGCCTATCAATGCAGCCTATCAGTACCCATCACTGCAGCCTCATTAGCGCACATCAGTGAAGGACAAAAATTACTTATTTATAACATTTTATAACAGAAACTAAGAATAAACTTTTTTCTCAGAATTTTCCATCTTTTTTAGTTTGTTTAGGAAAAAATTAAAAAAACCCTGTTGTGATTAACCACTTGCCTACAGGGCACTTATACCCTCTTCCTGCTCAGGCCAGTTTTCAGCTTTCAGCACTTTCGCACTTTGAATGACAATTGCACGGTCATGCAACACTGTACCCATGTGGAATTTTTATTTATTTTTGAGACAGATAGAGCTTTCTTTTGGTGGTATTTAATCACCTCTGTTTTTTTTTATTTTTTGCTAAACAAACCAAAAACAACTGAACATTTTGAAAAATGTTTTTTCTTAGTTTCGGTTATAAAATTTTGTAAATAAGTGATTTTTCTCCTTCACTGATGTGCAATATTGAGGCTGCAGTGGTGGGCACTGATAGACTTCACTGATGGGCACTGATGAGGAGGCACTGGTAGGTGGCACTGATGAGCATTGACAGGCATCACTGATGGGCACTGAAAGGCAACACTCATATATGGCACTGATAGGCGGCACTGATAGGCGGCACTGACTGGCACTGTTAGGTGGCACTAATAGGCAGCACTGACGGGCACTTATAGGCGGCACTGATTGGCAGCACTGGTAGGCGGCACTTACTGGCATTGATAGGTAGCACTAACTGGCACTGATAGGTGGCACTGAAGGGCAGCTCAGATGGGCACTGATATGTGGCATTGATGTGGCACTGATGGGCACTGGCAGGTGGCCTTAATGAGCACTGACAGGTTGCATTGATGGACACTGACAGGTGGCACTGACGGGGCTACACAGATCATCAGGATACTGATCCATCAGTGCCCTGATGATCAGTGTAAATGTCCCCTCTGAGTAATGCTGATTACCGCCTCTCCACCTCTGTCGATGACTGACATTTCCTTATTTACATGCAATCAGATGTGATTGGACACAGCTGATCACATGACAGAACCGATGTCTTCGGCTCTTTCCATTGATCGGTGATCCACTGTGTCCCAGGGACACAGCGCACCACGGATTGCTGTGCTGCGCGCCACCAGGGGATCTCACGCACGGTTACAGTGCGAGGACGTCATATGACATCCTCCCAGAATGAGAGAATCACCTTGCGCCCATCATTTCCTTATATGGTGGGCGGGAGGCCGTTAAATACCACCAAAAGGAAGCTCTATAGGTCTAAAAAAAAAAGATAAAAATGTTATTTGGATGCAGTGTTGCATGACCGTGCAATTGTCATTCAAAGTGCGACAGTGCTAAAAGCTGAAATTTGGTCTGAGCAGGAAGGAGGTAAAAGTGCCCAGTAGGCAAGTCGTTAATGGATAGATTTCGAAACTGAATTTCAACAACATTGCTGCAGGTGAAATCTGATTCCAGTTACAAGTAAACAAGGAAACCACTGTGGTACTGGAGGGTGCCTTGATGTTTCACAGAGATGTCTCAGGAGATAACTCCTCAATAGCTCCTTTTCTGATAATGTTTTTATTGTAAAATCAAAGTGTGCACAAATAATTTTAGACTTTCCAGTCCACAGCACATGAAATCAATGGAGCACCTAGGCATACTTGCTTTTCTTATCAGTCATTTTTCTGTTTTGCTACTGCATTGTGCGCTAAGAAATACATTAACCATGCTTATATTAATTAAGCAAGATTGAGTGCACCATAGATGAATGAGCATTTGAGCAGGCTTGCCTTCATTAGGACATTTGGAATCATTAAGTATTATGTATGCCCATGTCAGAAAAACATCAGCCTCCCACCAAGATTATCATATTAGATTTACTGATGAATTTACATTCATTCTGTCCATACTCAGCATTAGTTTGTCATTTGTTTATTTTGATACACTTATTTTGTGTTAAGTTGTGTGATGTTGTGTGTAAATAGTAATATGGCAAAATTTTCATATACTTGATTCTATCCAAAGCATTAAGTTATTTTTGTTTACTCTTTTACATGGAATTTGATCATTACAAACAGCAGTTGAAAAAGCAATAGTGCCCCATTTTAGGGGCCAAAACCGTCCTCTCTGCACATGCATCTACGATAACATAGTCCAACGAGTGGAGACCTGGCAATTACAAAATTTAAAGAAAAGATTCATATAAACAGCATTGGCCACCTCAAAGCACAGGGTCACTTGCCTATGTGTCCTCTGAACTTGGTACTTGTGATTTGGGATGTCACATGACTAAACAAGAAGGCTGTATGGGAAAGCACTGAATTTTCCATCACTTTCTGTACCATAGACAATGGTCACGAGGCCAAATAGAGAGAGGGATTTTCCTCAGCAATGGCACAGACAGCTATAAAAACCTGACCCTTTCCGGGTGTATCTAAAAGTAAATGTTGGCTATAGATGTACTTTAATAATTAACAGTATACTGCTCAACTCTGGTTGTCTATACAGTTAAACTATAAAATAATTAAAGAATAATACCAGGCATGGCTATATAATATACATTTACATGTAACTATGTATACATTGTAATTGGCTGATGCCCCAGGAAGCTGGAAATCACTGAAGTAGACATTGTTACTCCAGTGATCTCCACTTACTTCCGGGTCCTCTACTAAGCAGATGGACTAATGCATTGCGAATACAGATCAGCAACTCAGCATGGGTGCCATTCCGAGAATGCTTTGTGTTTTCTCAATGAATGCAAAGTGTTCTCTGAGGTGGAGAGTGTGACCTCACTGATCCACCTTTCCAGCTCATCTAGTCAGAGAACACTCTGAACATTCATTCAGAAAATGTAAAGCATTTACGAATGGTGCCCATGCCGAGCAGCTGACCACCTGTGATCAGTAAGCAAGAGTGCAGCTGCTCAGTGCAGGACCTGGCAAGTGAAGGTCACTTGAGTAGCAGTGTCTACTTCACTGATTTTTAGCTTCCAGGGGGTTGGCCGTACATGTATTTTATAGCTACATTGGCCCAAGCTGCACAAATGTAACTAAATATAATATAGCCATGCTTGGAATTATTCTTTAATTATCTCATAATGAAAGAGTCTCATGTGGTGAATGTCTGAAAAATTGGAAAACAAGGACAATGGAGATAAATATTTTATTACCTTGTCAATGGCAAGCTAAGAATTCAATATCTGGCAAATGTATGTTTTGGTTACATACATACTGTAGTTTTGAAGTCATTGCTAAATGGACAACAAAAGTAAACAATGGAAAAAAGCTTAGATTGTACGCCGCTTGAGGGTTAGGGACTGATGTGAATATACAATATATATGTAAAGCGCTACGTAAATTGACGGCACTATAAAAGTACCAGAAATAAATAAATAACTGGTGATTATCCTCATACTCCTAAAGTGGGACTACAGATAAATAATATGCAGTCCATTGAGTGGTCCTGTAGAATAGCAAAAGATTATGCAAAATAAAAATTAAGATAAATATTAAAACTTTGGATTCTGAGCACTTCCTGGTCCTAAAGTGTCAAGTCCTTCAAAATGCATCTTAGAAGATTTTTGTCACCTTTTTTCTTTCCCTTAATGTTGACTGTATATATTGCATTTATCTATATTGTGCTTCCTTTTGTTGGTTTAAAGAGGTCATAAAAGGCAAGCAGATGCCGAAACACTAAGCAGCAGCATTGTATATAGACACCCTTCGCCCTGATCTTTTGCCCATTTATGACTTACCCTACCTTGTGCCACACTGTGTTTCTATGTGGAGATGGCCATCTTGGTAGAAGAGCAAAGTTTTGCCTCCTCCTGTCCCAGCTGCACCCCTGATGTTCTTGGCAGGTTTGGTAATCACAAGAAGCAATAGAAGAGGTTCAGAAATCATAGATTCACATATGGGGAAAGTGCAGTGTGGTGTGCCAGCAGTAAATACATTAAGACCAAAATTAAAATTTGCAAACAAATCACAGGAAAGCCACTTAACTGGGAACATTAAGTTTTGTAACAGCGAGGTGGGCTGGAACAAATCTTGGATGTGCTGACAGTGTTTGTCTTAGAGGGTGGAAAGCGGCCTGGCTGGTCTGTACCCAAATTGGAGAATTCCAGGAAGGATGGCATGTCTCTATCCTGTCCCTACTTGTTTGGAACCTTTCCCTACCACTATTCACTTTCCCTAACAGATAGGAGACCAGCGCAGTGGAGAAAATGGACTGCACCTGCCTACCACAGAATAAATGCATTAGAAGGGAAATCTTTGTACTGCAGTTCCTGGCTTCCTCTCAGCAACAGAGAGCAGCACAGCAATAACATCACCAAATCTCACTCTACTAGTAATCAGAGACACAATGCCTTAAAGGAAATCTATGGTCACAGCATATTTTCACTTTTATAACATCAGCATTGCAACATCAACACAAACAATAGTTATTTTTGACAATAAGCTTACTTTTAAAAAATCAAATTTTTTTGCAAGTTTTACCTGTTTGCTGGCCATCTCTCTTCACAACTTTCTGGATTCCCTGCATGTTTTGCAGCTTTTTCCTCTGCTGTTTACCTTGCTCCATGCAAGTAGTGATTCCTGTACTGACTCCGCCTCCTGAAACTCCTCCTCTCAGCACCTCTGTAATTCAGAAGGCAGGCTCTGTAAAAGGCATGACACAGTGGGGCCTATCAATACATGTGTAAACACATGTTAACAAATTCAAGGAAGTAAATGTGTGTGGCTCTTCACAAAGTTAGTTTACAAACTTCAAGATAATTCAGAGTAATAGGAATAGACTAGAAATACAATGTGGAAATGAATATATGAATTTACATTTACATTTTGACCATGGATACACTTTAACTTGGCCATACATATGAAAAAAAACCTGACAGGTTCCTCCATTCACACGGAGGTTGATGGAAAACTCCTCCTGCCATGGCATTGTATTTTGACATATCCCAATAAGTGTATATTGATTGCTTTGTGTGAATGTTATAGCATCTACACATTATGGTATAGATAATGGAATTGACACAGCTTTTACTTTCTGACTGCCCATCACATTTCTTGAGGTGCTAAAATACCAGGACAGTACGAACACCCCCAAATGACCCCTTTTCGGAAAGTAGACACCCTAAGCTATCTGTTGAGAGGCATATTGAGTCCATGGAAGATTTATTTTTTTCCCATAAGTTTTTGAAAGATGACAAACTTTTTTTTTTTTTTACACAAAGTTGTCATTTAAATTATACATTTCTCAAACAAGCCATGAGTATACATGGAAGTCCACCCCAAAATACATTCTGCTACTTCTACCAAGTATGGGGATACCACATGCTTGAGAATTTTTGGGAGCCTAGCCACATACAGGAGCCTGAAATACAATGACCACTTTGAAAGCCTGAAGGTGCGTAACTTCCTCATTTCACTTCCTCACTACCTATCACAGTTTCGAAGGCCCTGAAATGCCAGGATAGCACCAAACCCCTTTTTGAAAAGTACACACCCCAAAGAATTAAAAAATAGGCATAATGAGTATTTTGTAGATCTCATTTTTTCTCACAAGGTTTTGAAATATAAAAAGAAAAAATGTTTGTTTTCTTTACTCAGTTTCCAAAAACTTTTGGCAGCAAACAAGATCTGCAAAATACTCACCATGTTTCTTACCAAATTTTTTGGGGTGTCTACTTTCCAAAAAGGGGTCATTTGGGGGGGTTCGGTGCTATCCTGGCATTTCAGGGCCTCCGAAACTGTGATAGGTAGTCAGGAAGTGTAATGCGGAACTAAAGCCCTTTAAAAGCCTGAAGGTTCCTATTGGCTTTTGGGGTCCTATACTTGGCCAGACTGCCAAAAAGGCTCTCACATGTGGTACCCCCCATACTTGGGAGAAGTAGCAGAATGTATTTTGGGGAGTAATTCCTCATATACCCATGGAATGTATAAACAATAAAAAAAAATATATTTTTTTTTTGTGATTTTCCAAAAACTTGTGGTAAAAAAATAAATTCTTCTGTTGATTTTTTTTTTTTTTTTTTTTTTTTTTTTTTTTTTTTTTTTTTCTCAGTATGCCTCTCAGCAAATAGATTGGGGTGTCTACTTTCCAAAAACGGGTCCCATGAAAAAAAACCCAGTATTTTTT